GTGATAGCCGAGGTCGCAATAGTAAGGCGACATCCCTGTGGCTGGCGAGACGGCGTGGTTGTAGGCTATCTCCGCGTGGGCAAGATGGAGATCCCACTACTGGTCGTCACGAACAATCTTTCGGAGAATATCTCCGAGAGTCCTGTTCGTGATCTCGGTTTGACCATCAGTCTGAGGATGGTAAGACGAGGAGAAGCGGAGTTGTGTGCCGTACAACTCGTGGAGCCGTCACCAGAATCGGCTGGTAAAGCGCACGGTCAGATATGATGCTCAGAGGTAAGTCGTGGTCATGCACGACTCGGTCAAACACGATGTCGGCGACCTCACGTGCACTGATGGCAAAGCGGCACGGAACAAAGCGTGCACGCTTCGTGAAGCGGTCGACGACGACCAGGATAGCATCATGACCGCGGGGGGTCGGAGGATGAAGAGGACCGATAAAGTCCATCGAGATGGACTGCCAACGACCCTTAGGGATAGGCAGAGGCTGGGGCAAACCATAAGGAAGGTGGTTCGCACTGTTCACCTCCTGACAGGTGGGACATTTTGCGAAGTAGTCCTTCACAAAGTCTGTGCGCTTCGGCAAGACATATAGGCGGCTCACACGAGCCAACGTCTTGTGGAAGCCCATATGACCGGCGGCTGCCTGGTCATGTAACCCTGCTACTGCTCGGACACGTAGCTGTCCAGTGGAGGGAACGCAAATACGGGGCTCTCTGGTGCCCTGTGAACCGTGCCAGTACACAAGACCGTTGTGCCCGAGAGAGTAGTTCGGGACGGTCTTGCCACTCCGAAGGGTCGCGTGGATGTCGCGATAGTCGGGGCAGTGGCGGTACTGAGTGCAAATCTCGTCGATCACCGAATGGTGGACGGTGGTGACCGAGATGGAAGAGAGTTGGATCTGCTCCTGGTCGTGGTCAGGGCGCCGGAATAAGGCATCAGCGACCAGATTAGTCTCACCCTTGATGTGCTCAGTGGTGAAACTAAACTCGGATAGGTCGTGCCACCAGCGAGCCTGTCGAGGAGTGAGTTTCGGCTTTGTCAGAAAAGCCTGGACAACAGAGTTGTCCGTGCGCGTCGTGAATGGTGCCCCGTGCAGGTAGTGACGCCAGTGTCGAGCGCCATAGACTACTGCGAGAACCTCACGTTCATCAGCAGTGTAGTTTATTTCTGCGGGTAGAAGCTGACGGGAGTAGAAGGCTATCGAACAATCACCTGAGCGAGACTCGACAGTGCCGTCCTCGGCGATGGTAGGAGAATAGTCAATAGAAGGCTCGTCAGTAGTTGGACGAGTAGGCGTCAGTCGGGAAGCAGTGGTAGGGGTAGGTGGTGGGAAGCGAGGGATACGAGGATGAGAGGAGTCAGGAGAGGAGGGGAAGACTTGAGAAAGCACTGCTCCTACAACAAAGCCTGACGCATCGGTGGTAAGGATAAAAGGGCGATCAAAATCAAGTAGGTGAAGAACCGGTGCGCATGTCACCGCCTTCTTTAGGGCGTGGAAGGCGTCCTCGTGGAGGGGTGTCCAAGCCCAGGGTGGGTTCTTCCGGAGGAGGGTGGAGGTAAGGACGTAGGAATACCTAGCGTATCCCTGGATGAAATTACTATAGTAGCTGGTCAGGCCTAGGAAGCTGCGAAGCTGCTTGGCGGATGTGGGGACGGGCCACTCCGCAATAGCAGTGATCTTCGCGTCGTCCATGTGGAAACCCTGGTCAGACACGTAGTGTCCTAAGAAATCCACTTTGTGTTGGGCAAAGCGGCACTTGCTCAGCTTGGCGTGGAAGCCATGTCTGTGCAAGCGGTTAAGGACGTCGTGAAGGTGTCTGTGGTGCTCCTCAAGGGTACGACTGTAGACCAGAATATCGTCGAGGTAGACGAGAACGTACTGCTCCAGGATGTCCCTGAAGATGTCGTTCATCGCCTTCTGAAAGGTAGCGGTTGCGTTGGTGAGGCCAAATGGCATCACCGTAAACTCGTAGTGGCCGAAGCGCGATCGGAACGCTGTCTTCGGCTGGTCGGCTGCAGTGACGCGGATCTGATGGTAAGCGCTACGAAGATCAATCTTCGTAAAGAAGCGGTTGCCTGCTAGGCGGTCGAACAGCTCATCGGAACGAGGCATGGGGTAGCTGTTCTTAACCGTGGAGCGGTTGAGACCGCCATAGTCGATGTAGAGACGAAGAGTTTCATCCGCTTTGCGAGCAAAGAGGACGGGTGCACCCCACGGGGAGTTGCTGGGTTTAATGAAACCCAGCCTCAAGAGCTCCTCAAGCTGACGCTTGAGTTCGGTGGCCTCGGGGATCGAGAATCTGTAGGGTGCCTGGTGGTGAACACGATAGTCAGGCACAAGCTGGATGAAGTGCTCGACGTCGCAGATCGGTGGGATGCCAGCGTACGAGAACGACAATGGGAAAACGTCGTGGTACTCTCGAATGAGGTCACGAACTGCGGGCTCCAGGTCGGTCGTATATCGTGCGAGTTCCTCAGCGTCAGCATCAGCGCGTGACGGCGGGGTGGACTCGACGGACGGCGGAGGGACGAAAGTAGAGATGGGAGCCATGGAGATAGAAGGAGGATCTGGCTCCAGAGGGATGAGCTCGGCGTCGGGACATGGTGGATCATAGTGTAAGAGATCCGTCACGTTCACCTAAAGAAGGTGACGTCGTCCTGTCGGATGAAGTGGGCGAACTGCCGAGGCGAGGTGACAGTGATAGAAGGAGATGGTGTGGGCACGGAAGGCTCCGGGGGAGGAGGATCGGGGCGTGGTGTCGCAGTGGTATCTATGAAAGGTACGCGATACATCTGTCCACACTTCGTTTTGAGAACGAGAGTGTTGGTCGCCCAATCGGCCTCGGTGTTGCGGAACCGACGAGACCACGGAGTGTCGAGAATGAAGTCGTACCTTGTCTCCATCACATCGAAATGTGCAGAGGAGCGGTGGCGACGAGACGCCGGGGGACGATCAGTCGGCTCGAGAGTGAGGAAGAAAGGGAGATCGGTGACCGTCTGATCGAAGAAGCGTTGGGTCTTGTCATCCCCTAGGGTGACAGAGATGAGAGTCGGAGACCCAGTCGTGGGTAAGTGGGCTTCTTTCACCACACGTGGGTGAATGAAGTCGCCCTGAGAACCGGAATCCCACAGCGCTGAGTACACCCTCGTGGAGGTCCCCAGTCGTACGGGGATGATCGGGAGGGTGCGATCAGGGTCAGAGATGATGGTGAGAATGCAACGCAGGGCAGCGACATGGAGGGTGAGTCGCTCCTGACAAGCCTGGAGCATGCTCAAGTCCAAAAGAGAGGACACAACGTCCTCGCGAGTCACAAGCTGCTCGCTGCAACTGGCTGAGCGAATGGCTTGACGCGTCGGTAGTCGCGGTGGGGAAGGAGGGGAGACGGTGGTCTGCGGAGGCGCAGACAGTACTGCGACAGAGGGCTGAGTACACTCTGTCAGATCCTGCGATACCTCAATTCCAGTAGCGAGAGGGGCAAACCACGACGGGGATGTCGGGAAGCCGACTATTGAGGAGGGCGCAGGTGTACACTGCACCGTGGCTAGGAGGCGCCGAGGGGATGCGAGGCGCCGGGGGGGGACTGAGCACGACGCTGGCGGGAAAGGTCAGCGTAGTGGCGGTCAAGGGCGGTGGTGTAAGGGCACCGCGAGGAGGTATTACTGTCCTGACAGCATCGCGAGCACCCAGGTCGACCCAAAATAGCCACGCGCTCCTCAGCGGAAAGGACATCGCGAGGAGGAACAAAGCCCTGAGGGAGGTCCTGCTGAGGAACCTCGGGGGGCGACGCGCCAGCGTGACAAGGGCGGCTGCGTGCCCGGGAAAGGGTGGAGAGGATGAGCTGGAGGCGCTCAGTCATAGGGAGAGTAGGGTCCTCTAGCCTCCAGGTGGTGGTGGACGGCCTCGCGGAGGTCGAGGTCATCGCTATGGTCACCCTCCGGGGACAGTGGGGCACCAGCGTCCTGCTCACCATACTCGAGCGCGCTGAAGCGGCGCGAGAAGTGGCGGCCCTGCTGCGCGGAACGACGGGGGCGACCGCGGAAAGGGGAACGACACTGGGAAGTGCCGTGAGAGGAGGAGGAGGCGTAGCCCGTGCGCTGAGGCTGGGAGGAAGAGGCGGGGKGAAGACGGGCTCGCATCCGCTGATGGTCCCTGGCGGCCTTGTAAGCCTGCGGGGCCGATGTGAACTCGTACCGCCATAGCTCGGAGCGGTACTCGAGCGGAAGGCTGGCCAAGAAACGATCGATAAGGGCCGCCTCGGGGAGAAAGGCCATGTCACAAATGAGGCGGGGGTCCTGAAAGACCTGGATGTGGCGATTCAGGTCGGCAGCACCACCAGAGTTGGACCAGTGTGTAGTGACGACATGCTCGAAGGCGTTAGTCACGTCATATCGGGCTCCGAAGCGATCCTCGAGGAACGCCTGGAAATCCATGAAGGTCGGAGTCCGACCCGCACGAACAGAGTAAGAGTAGAAATCCTCCCAGGCGTCGGAAGGACCGCCACGCAGGCGCGTAGAGAGGTGAGCCACCCACGTGTTGGGTGCGGCACCCATGAGCTGGAGCGTGCGGGTGGCAGACTGTAGCCACCGAGACACGCGTATGCCTGTACCGTCATACAAGGCAATGTCCGTCAAGTGGACGAGTGGTGCGCCACTTTTTTGGTGGCGAGGAGAACGGGAAGCATGGACTGCGCTACGGCTGAATAAGTCGGCGTAGGTCCAGGAGGAGGGGGCGCATTTGACTGTACGCCCGGGCCACATGCTGGAGCGGCGGGGGAAACAGCGGCAGGCTGCACGGGAGCTGCGGTAGAAGAGGTCGCAGCAATCGAGGGGATGGGGAGGAGGTAGGATGGGGATGGGTAGGGTGCAGGGCGAGGGAACCGAGCCTGCATTGAAGGAAGGGTAGAGGAAGAAGGGGGTGCGCCGGAAGGCACGGCCACCTGTGAGGGTGGGGGAGGCTAAAGGCGTGAGAGGGCGAGGTCGGCCCGAAGCTGGGCAATCTCGTCCTCGAGACCTCGAACGTAGGTCGTGCGAGGGGTAGCAGGAGGGAGAGTGGGGGAAGTGGATGCACGAGCGGCGCGGGGCATCCCAGAGGGGGGAGAGCCAGATGGCGCTGCGGTCGTGCGAAGGGAAGGGAGAAGCGAGGCACCCGGAAAAGCTGAGACCATGGTAGCGGGTTGTGGTCCCGTGGCCATCGTGACCGGAATCTGGGCGGGTGCGCCCGTGGACTGAGGGAGGGCTTGGCTCGTGGCGGCCGTCGTGCTAGGGGCGTGGACAGTCACCAAGATGGTCGGGTCGAGGGCAGTGGAGGAGGAAGCTTCGCCGTGGCCACCCTGTTGGAGGACGGGGGACCCGGACTGGGAGCCAGGAGATGAAGGACACGCAGCGTCCTGGAGTTGCTGCATGCCGGCGGCAAGGGTTGCCACCTGCGCCTGTAGGGGTGCGAGGGTCGCGAGTTGCGCCTGGATGGGCGCAAGGAGGGAGGTGAGGAGGGTGTGCAGATCCCCTTGGGGCTGGTGGCCCTGGTCCGTCGGCACAGGTGTGGAGCCCTGTGCCGTGGTCGTCGCCGCGTCGGCGGCGTGTGACACACCGTCGGCCATGGGGAGGTAACGGGCCGGGCTGGAGGGGGCTAGGAGAGGTCCGCGCGAGCGGAGGGCGTAGGGGGGGGTCCGCGGTAGAAGGCGGCGGACGACGCTAGCAAGGCTGGCGCGGGCGCCGTCAAAGGGGGAGGGGTGGTTCGGGTCCAGGGTGCCCGAATAGGAAGGGGAGTAGGGGGGGTTTGAAGAACCCTAAACCCTAGAAAAACCCTAAGAAAACCCTAACCGGAGTTTGAGTGGTTAGGGTACGGTGCCGGTGATCTAATCAAGCAAATAAAATAGCAAGCATAAGGGGGGGGAAGGCGGGAGAAAAATAAATAAACAGCGAGATTTCGAGAGAATAAAAATAAATAAGGAAATAAAAAAATAATTAAAATAAGTAAAGAAATAAGTAAAAAGATGTGAAGAGAAGAAACAATATTTATTCTTTTGAAATTTTCGGCCGCATTTCCGTACCCCCCATGGGGTCAAGAATGTGCCAAGGGAAAAGGAGAGACCAAGGTGAGCACTCTAGGTTTCAAGATGCCGCAAATAAAAAAAAGAAAATTCAGAAAATAAATAAAGAAATAATAAATAAATAAATAAATAAATAAATAGGTAAATAAGTGGGTGAGGAGGTGGAGAGAGATGGGGTATCTGATTTTCCAAAAATTTTGGCAGCATTTCGTTACCCCCATGGGGTCGAAGTGTGCCGAAAAAGTCTAGGTAAGAGAAAATCAGAAAATTTCGGCAGCACTTCGTTACCCCCACGGGGTTAAAATGTGTGCCGAAAGCAAAAAAGACTAACACCTAATCAGATTTAGGGTTGCCGTAAAGAAAATCGAATTTTCAGAATAAATAGAAAAATGAATCAAATATATCAGAAAATGAGAAAAGAAGGTGGGGAAGAAGATAATTCGAAGTTTTGGAAAAAGAGAAAGGATAAATCGAAAGAGAGATAGAAAGAAGAAAAACAGAAAAAATTCGAAGTAGGGAGGAAGGGGACTGAAAAAGTGAAGGAGAAAAGAAAGAAATAGGTGGGAGAGAGAAAAAGATGAAGTGGGAGGTAGGGGGATGGTGTGGTGGTAATTGGGGGAGAGGAAGGTGAGAGAATGCTAGAGAGAGGGATGGGGAATGGTGGAGAGGGATCAAGAAGCAAAGAGAAAAGGAGGAAAGAAAAAAAATAAAATAAAGAAAAGAGAGTAAAAGAATGGGTGGTGGGAGAAAAGTGAGGTGGGGAAGGTAAAAGGAGGAGAGAAAATATGCAGTAGAAGGTGGGGGAAAGAGAAGGGGTGATTAAGCGGAGAGAGGAGAGGTACAGAGAGTGGTTTAGTAGAGGAAGGGGAGAGAGAGAAGATATACCTGGCCCTTGGTGTCTCCAAGGGCACAAGGTATACCAAGACCAGGAGGGTCTTGGCCTTCTCTGCAGCAGCCAGCTGGAGGAGAGAGAGGGGCTGAGATCTTGATCAGCCCC